TTTATGTAGCTGTACGTCTATTAAAATTATAGAAAAAGAAAACAAAATTTGTTGCTTTCAGTACCTTATATTGTGCAAAGTCGAGTTTGGGTTGGGGACCATCACCAAAACATTCCTGATTCAGTCTGTGTATTCTTTCTTTCTCGCTTCTGTTTTCATCATTTATCCTTAAATCCTCTGCAGGGTAGGGATAAAAAAAAAAAAGGGGGGGGAGGAAAAAAAGATAACTCTCAGTGAATACAAATACTGCATTTGTTGATGATGTGAATGCTCAAAAAAAAAAATTTGGAATTTTAAAAAGATTCATCACTGTCTGTGTTTGATAAGTTAATTGGTTGCATGACATATTTTCAATTCTTACCAAGAAAGAAAACAAGCTAGTATGATAGGAGACACTGATCATTATTTATTTCTAGTTTCATAAATGCATTGAATGTCATGAGGAAATATTCATATTTCCTAGTGACACCAATATCATCCATGGGTGGATAATATGTCAGTATAACACAATGCATTTCTTATTATGAATCTCATTTCATAACGCAGAAATATACAGAGATACATTTTTAAGCACGAATTTTCCAAGTGAGGACATTCACACTTCTTTTTAATTTAAAAATACACGTACCATTTTCTGTGAGTACATTCCTTTCTTGTAGTGGATAGTTGGTTTGGAAGTTCTAAACAAGGAAAAAATAAAAAGGGAAAAAAAAAACAGTTCTGCTTTTAGAGGCCTTAGCTGAAAACAGTTTTCTAGATTTCTTTTCACTTCGTGTTCTGAAAGTGGTCACATTTTTGATAACTACTAGACTAGAAAGCCCAGCTTTATTTTGAGAAAACACCCCCCATCCTATGATACATCATGTGGATGAACAAAGTTAAGTATTTGTTCTAATACCTCCCCAGTTATTACTCTAAGAAATAGTGCCAAGAAGTTCCAGGAGTGAATTGGTCAGCTGCATAGACTAAGCTTAACCATCCAAGAATAATAATAAACACTAGGTGGCATATCAAGTAATTACATCACCACTGTAACGTTACCTTAAGGAAAAGCTATCCAACTCTGTGGTTCAATGTTATTGTAACTTGATAATCTCTGAAAGAGGTGAATTTCCCCCTGCTAGGGGGTGAGAACTAGGCCTGAATTAGAAGCAAGACTCATCTTCGTATATACTTGTAAAGTGGCTCACCTGGCTGTACCTCTTAAACACAATATCTTTAAGGGAGTTTAAACAATGACTTCGAAGCTCCATTTCACGGATGTTGTGGTAATTGGAAGCAACAACCATTGCCTTTAAATAAAAATTGAAATTGTTTTAGTATGAGTGTTAATAATCACCACGGGTATAATAGAAAAAGACATAGTATTTCTAGACTTTGAGATGTTTTGTTTCACATGAAGCAAGTACTATTTAACTAGCAGGGTTTTCATGTTGCAGACAATTATTAAGGCTTGGTTAACATACAGAACCTTCCCAGGATTTGCTGAATAATCATAGAGCCTAACAAAAACACGAAGTAAACAGACTAATAAAATCATGAAACTACTACTATGGCTATCTATGAGACAGACAAAAATAAAAGACTACAAACACTGATCACCACTATTTTATAGAAAAAGCTAATTAATAGCATTGCTTGATGAACTCATACATTTAGAATCATAGAATCACAAGGTTGGAAAAGACCCATAAGCTCACCCAGTTCAACCATCCACCCATCACCAATAGTTCTCACTAAACCATGTCCCTCACAACGTCCAAACGTTCCTTGAAAACCTCCAGGGTCGGTGACTCCACCACCTCCCTGGGCAGCCCATTCCAGTGCCTGACCACTCTTTCAGAGTAGTTAATTAACAGTGTTGTTTTAATGTTCTTCTAAGAGAAGAACATTATGAACTTCTAAGAGACAATTTAGGTGATTTGCCTAACACTTGCTTGAGGAATTAGAATAATTTAAGGTCAGCAAAAATCCTAATAAAATGAATTTATTTGTGATGTGACATTCTAAAGGTCACAATGATTGGGTTTTGCAAATCCCTGGCTTTTTAATTTTAAATAAAAAATAAGCAAGAGCTAAGGGGAAAAAAAATCCAACATAAATCAGAAAACTGCATTAAGAGACTCTTTACATCTCCTCTTCAAAGCTAAGAGAATTAAAAATCCAAAAGACTGTGGTGGAGTCATGGTCCATGCAGTTTAGTTTTCTACCTGACACAGCAGAGGTAAGTTGCTCCTAAGGGTGGAGGCAGAGATGAAGACATAAGGAGTCTGGGAGTGGTATACAACATAACTGGTTTTGTACTGGTTTGGTTTTGTATAAGGTGTTCCCCAGGCAATTCTAATCCAGATTGCATTATCCTCATATTCCCTAAAATTGATGGTGACCTGAGTAGAAAAAGAAAAGCTTTGCTTTAAACACACATTCACACATCCAGAAAAATTAAAACATGCCGTAAGCCTGTGTTCACAAGACCAAACACAATACTGCTTGAATAAGTACCAAATCCCACTAGTGTGGTAAGGATTATATTTCAATCAAATTTCCATGGGAAAACAAAAACGTCACAAAATGAAGGCTCTGAACTCTAATATGACTTTCTTTTTACCCCTTCCGAAGGGCATGGACTTCAATTTTTTTTTTTTCCTATTTTTCATATAGTTCTTACCATTCCCAAGTTAAATCTATTTTGGTTTTGATGCAGATTGTAAGAAAAAACCTTTTGCCAAATATCTGGAAAATCTATTGACACCCAACACATCCAGACATTCTTACATTTATCAAAGCTGATTGAATTTGTCTTCTAAATTTTTTTTTGAAATCTCTGAAGTCAAAGTAGTCTGTTTCTTCCCCTGTTAAACAAGAAAATGAAGAATTTATTGAATTCTATCTCCAAGAACTGTTTCAGCGATGGTTTTAGTTTCACTGAAACAATATTAAGAAGAAAAAAGCTGACACTGCATAGCATTTTTAGGAAAGCTGGATATTAAATTTGAGTCTCATTATTGTTATGCATATATTTATATATAAAAGATAATTAGAAATTATTAGTTTCTAACAGTTGCCAGAAGAGTTAATCTAAAGTACTCGAAAAACTAGTTAAAGATAAATCCATACTCAGTAAATTGCTGGGAGTTATACTAGTGAGACTGCAGCAAGGAAGCTTTACCTGTTTTGTTCATATGGTAGACACTCCACACTCTTTTGTTTGGATAGATGTGGTTGTCTAGGGAAAACAGGAATTACTCAATAACAATTGAATGCTATCAAAAGGTAATTAAAAAATGATTTTACACTACTTTTATAACCAAGTTGTTTAAAGAAGATTACTTCTGACAATGTGATATAACTTATTTTGCAAACCTAAAAGCAACAGTTCTTATTAAAAGAGATAGCTGCTTAATTAAATTACAAAAGATCTTCAAAACAAAGGATATCTCTGAGGTTCAGTGTTTAAAGAAACACTTTAACTAAAACAACCATCAGTCTAAATTGAAACAGAGAGCTGTAATAATCATGTTGTGAATTAATATCGGAGCTCAATTTCCACCTGGAGTATTTGCAGGCAGCTTTTCCCTGTGCCACTTCTCATTGTGGCAAGATGTCAGGGCTCAGCATATACTGGAGATGAACATCTCTCTCTACATTTATAACTGTGCTCTGTATGTGGCTTACTAAAGTTGATGGCTATTTAGAATTCTAAAGAAACAAACAAGCTCATGTTGATGAAGGGGTTTTGGAAAGGAAAAAAATTAGTCAGATCCAAAAGGATTAACGTCATCTTTGTACATTAAGTGCATCCCTGCATCACTATGGTGATTGCTATGTGATTAAAGGAGTTACCAAGTTACTCAAAAAAAAAACCAAAAACAAAACACTTAGATGTTATTTTCATTCATTTTTACTTACAGATGATGTCTAGGAGGGCTGCTTGCTTTATGCCTGCAGAACTTTCCTGGAAGGAAAAACAACAGTGTATTGTGAGGATCACATAGAACACAATCATTGCATATCCCAAGCTGGAAGAGGACCCATAAGGATCATTAAGTCCAACTCCTGGCTCCACACAGGACCACCCAAAAATGAGACCATATGTCCAAGAGCAATGTCCAGAAGCTTCTTGAACTCTGACAGCTCGGCGCTATGCCCACTGTTGAGGCTGCTCTAGTGCCTGAGCACACACACACCGTTCAGCAAGTGAGAGATCCCAGGACAGGCAGTTTCAATCACAAGGCACTGAAGTCCAACACACGGGTCATCAAGAGGCAGGTCCTGAGGAAAGGATTACCTCGCAGAGCTGGGCGACGCTGTGGGAGATGCTCTCTTTGGTCTGACGGAAGTTGATGGTTTGTAGCTGCGCCTCTGAGAGAAAGCCCCACTTCTGCAGCACTGCCATGATCTCATCGCGGGGGATTTTCAGCACAGTTCTTCGGATATACTCCACAGCGACCTCATCCATAATGAGGACACCTGGAAAGTTGAGGTATCAAAGAAATCAGACCAGCACATAGGCCAACTGCTCCCTGAATACGGTAGAGAAAAGTGCTGAAAGCCACCCTAGGGACAGCGGGAGAACCGCGGCATCATTCCCTAGCGTGGCATTAGCGGAGGTTCCGCCACTGACAGCACCTTAGTGTTTCCTGCAGCCCCAGTTCCTGAAGGCAGCCGAGACCGTGACCGACCGAGGGGCTGAGAGCAACCACGCCGAGCGTTCCTCAAGAAATAAGGCCGACCTAAGGCCCCGTAGCCCTCGTCCCGCACACCAGAAAGTCACCTCGCCCACACCCCCGCGTTCACAGCACAGAGCCCCACTCACCGCCGCACCTCAGGCGGTGCCGCCACTGCCACCGCAACACCAAACCGGCAACGCGCCGCGCCAACCGCCTCCCGCCTTTCGAAGTACCCAATCAGACGCTGCCCGGTGCAAGAGAGGTCCAATCACAGGAGGCCCCGCCCCTCTTCCCCGCCCCTTGTATCTGAGGAGACTTCCGGCCGGGTATGTCCGGGCACTTCCGGTGTCCCGGCGCTTTGGCTTGGGGCTGTGTGCTCGGCCCCGGCCCCGTCTGGCTGGGTTCGTCCTTTTTGGAACAGAAGTAAGCTGTGAATAAATGCTGCTCTTGCGAGAAGAGAACCCTTACACAGCTGGAGCTGCACTACAACGGTAGCGCTGCAGTTAGTCTGCAAAGGAAATGGATCTGTGGTTCTATGCTTGGTCTCTTTTTATAAGGGCTTTTTGATATGTTTTGTATAGAAGCGCGGGTTTTTTTTTAATGTGGGAGAGCTGAGCTGTTGGGGTCAGGTGTGCCGAATGTGCTGAAATGCCTTTTATATGCACAACTTTTGAAATGGAAAATATTTGAGCAACTTGGTTTAAAGAAGCCTTGCAATGAGTTCCACTGAAAATATCATTGAGGAAAGCTGTTGACTCGGTTTAAACACCCCCATATGGAAATATTAAGTGTTAAGCTAATTGGTGAGCCTGAGAAATCAACCAAGCTTATTTCTCTGTGTCAGGGAACTGATTGGTTCTTATTCATGGGAGATTCTGTGAAAAGAAGAAAGGAACTTCACTGTATTCCTGGTGTGCTGATCCTGTGCTTCATTTGGGCAAGAAGTGGGGATGTATGAAGCCCCTTTGTCCTCCACGTTCTCATCTGCCCCAAGGAGGTCAGGAGGAGAAGCTGGCAGGTGGAAGAGGAAAAAACAGCTGTCCTAACAGGCGTGTGAATGAAGAGCTTGCCCTGCTCTTTTTGGACAGCCATTTGGTTTCTGACCACTGGCCCAGTACTTGTGGTTGTCTTGTGAATTCCGTAGTGCTGATAGTTTCCTTTTGCACATTAATATTTGATATTTCATATATTGACCAAGCGTGTAAGTAGCTTTTTTGGTTAGAGACAGCTGTTCAAACTTGTATTTAAAAGGTAGTTGAAAAGAATGATGATCTTTCTCCATGTCTTCAGCATTCAGAGGCTAGTAGCAATTTGCAGTTTGTTCTTATAGCATTTCAACTAAATCATTTAGCTGTGTGTATGCTGTAATCTTTAACAAGGCAGGGAGAGTTGTGCAAACTGCAGTATCTCCTATAAAATACATTAAAGGGCTGAATGCTCTTACGCAATTCAGTGGTATGTTTGTGCAAGAGGTTCATCCTTTCCAAATATTTGCCAGTTATTAATGTTGGCTTAGCATTCCACAGTCTGTTTTTGCCTTAAAATAATTATAGTATTTTCCTAATGTTCTATTTTACTGCTATTATTTCTTCTACCTCAATTTCATGTTTAACTTGATGTTCTTTATCCAGCAATTCTGTTCGTATTTCCTCGAGGCAATTTATATTGCTTTTTCCCTTTTTTTTTTAACAAATATTTTTTTTCATGCGTCGAGTCCTTATGTGCTACTGCATAAAATTGTGTCCATGTTCACTTACATTCTAGCAAGATGACGACTTACTATCTTTATTTTAGGTTAAAACATTACTAAAAAGAAACTGAGGAAACCAGTAGCCCATTCTCTCCTTCTTCATACGTACTTTTGTTACCCTTTGAAACCCTTTCATCTACCCATCAACTCCCTCTGGCAAAATTATTTCAACTTTCTCTGATCATTTATAGGTGACAGACTCATCTGTCACTCCTAAACTCAAATACAGTATTTAGCATTGATAACACTATTCTGCCATGAACTTCAAAAGTATTTAAAGGCTCCAGTTGAGCCTCCCTTTGCTACTTTGTAGCAAAACATTTTCTTTTTTAATGTTTGCTAATTCATTGTAGCCTATGCGAAGTGCGTACCACTTTAGGTAACTGAGCTTGCAAGATTTTAATGTTCTTGTTATGTGAAAATTAATTCAAGTGATCATAGAGCTGGTCACTCTCTCAAGGGAACGTTGACTCTAGTGTGGTTTCCAGCTTCTGTGTGAAAAGTACATACAATGTAATGTTGTACTTCCAGCTAGTATGGGGGAGGTTCTTGAAAGAAATGACTGGATGTGTTTGTAACATCATGCAGAAGGCACCCTTGCAGATCTCCAGGAGCTCGTGAATTTGTTTAGAATTCTAAAACTTTATTTGCTTGTGGGAACGTAGTTCTTGTTAAGCAGAACATGTGATACAAAATACAGAGTAAATTAGTTTAGATAGCTCTTCAGGCCAAATATATTACTTGAGTATTGTAGGAATAGTAGAGTAGGTGATAGCTGCCAGTGCTGCAAGTGAATACTGGGACTTTGCAGTTGTAAAATCTGACCACTGCCAACCAGTATTTAGATGGCTTAGCTGTGGGGTGTTGAAACAAGGATGGCTACTGAGCACTGGAGTACTTTTTTTTTTTTTGCCTGATGTACTGCAGCTAGGAACCTGCTCTCTTTTGGAGGAAGGGCAATGATAAAATACCAAGTAAACAAGCCAAAAGACATCTACTTAACTTGTTGGCAGTATGGTTAATACAAGGAGAATTTTGTCGAGATGAGCCCATTTGTCCTGGTATGAACTGGACTTTTCTTCTTCCCACTCTAGTACAATAATCTTCCACAACAAAGAAGTCATATTATTTCAGCCATTGTTATATGACAGTTTCATCCTTTTTGAAAAAGATCTCGAAAATGGCTTCTGGGATTGTTTTCTTTTTTAAGTGAGATGTTATATAAAAAATATATATGTTTCTAGAATGAAATTTGCTCGTGCCCCACAGAGCTGTACAGAGGAGCACCTGGGGGTCCTGGTTGACATGCAGTTAAACGTGATTTAGCAGTGCACCCTTGTGGCAATAAAGGCTAGCAGCATACTGAGTTGTGTTAAAGAAGTGTAGTTAAGTGGTTACTGTTCCACTCTCCTTGGCACTCTTGAGGACACAGTGGTTTTTAAAGCATCATCAAAGCTTTTGGATGGAGCTTTTTCAAAAAGCATGTAGATGAGTAAAAAGATGCCAGTTCTCAGAGTGCTGTAATGAAATATCAGGGTGCTTCCTGTTCCTACCCACCTATATGTACAGAGTAGAAAGAAGAAAAATACATATATATAATAGCTATCCTATATCGATTGGATATGGATTGGAACTAGATGATCTTAAAGGTCCCTTCTAACCCAAATGATTCTATGTGTGCTATAATGTATATACATGTGCTAGAATGAAGAAAACTGAAATAGGAGGATGAGAAGATGATCTGCAGTTCAAGAAAGGTTAATTCTCCTATTGTCCCTTAAAAGAAAAATCCCAAAAGCATCCTTAATGTCCACGATCACAAATAGTTTAAACTCATAGTTAATATTTGAGCTCTACAGATAAGGAAGAGACGTATACTGGTTCTAATTACCTTAAGTGTATAATATCAATTATATATATTATGTTGCATTTTGATTCAAAATACTATTATTATAACACTAATACCATATGATAATTTCTTAAGTGATCAACTTGAACTTTTATTTATACATTCATATTTTGATGTTGGCAGGTGGAAATTTTCTCAGATTCTTTTACTGCTAAAATCATCACTACATAAGATGCATCCAGACCTGTCTCCTCACCTGCACACTGAAGAATGTAACCTCATTATCAGTCTGCTCAAGAAGTGTCACAAGGAGGTAAGGAGTTCTGAGCAGAGAAAAGAGTGGGTGGGCTGGGGAAATGAGTGTCAGAAAATTGGTGAGATTATCATACAATCATAGAAAAATCTCCAGTAGGCAGAGCAGCCATGAAACAGAGCTAGTACATTTATAGTGGTAAAGATATCTGACAACTGCTTGTAAAACTTTGCCAGTGACTTCATTAGGAAATGAAATATACCTTAAAATTGTGTTAGAGCTTTACAACGGTGGTGAAATAATTTTTGCATGTTTTAGTCTGTGTGTTTATTGCTCCTAGAATGTTCACAGCATTGCTGTATACCAGCTGCCTGCAGTCCAGATGCACTAGATATATATATATCTATATACGCAGGTATGCTGGTGTGCCTTACATTTCATGCTTGGAGAGCTAAATGTGAATTAACATTTGAATATTCTTAGTAGGCGTGTACAAAGGGATATAAAATACCTAATTGTCTTCAGAGAACTCGAGGTTTTTCATTGCTGTGCCATAGAAATTTCATCTCATTCATTCAGAAGTTGTTTTTTAATTTGTTCTATAGTAAACTTCTGGACATAAATGAGTCAGTCCCTGAAATGTAAGTTATCTGCAGCATTGGTGCATTACTGTTAATTATTCTTCCAGTTCTCTCAGTTAATGTAAATAGATGTTCTGAATAGACATACTTCTGTATTAGTGCATGAGTTTAATTTTCTAGTTTGCTCAGCGACAAAAGTACATTTGAATGTTTAATAGAATTCACTGGTTTATACCATCTCATGCAATCTGCAGTATTTTCACTTCCATGTTCAGATGTGGTTTATAATTTTTGATAACACAATTATCCATAAATTTGAAGACAAATCATATTTAGCCTTACTGTTTTCTTAAGAATTCTGAATTTTTCTTTTCCAAAGTGATTACAGGCTGACAATATGTGAAATATGAGTGAAGATTCTTAGTGTGAAAGAGACATAACATTTTTTGAAGGTCTGGTTTTAAAGTAGCTAAACTAATGTTTAAAAAGCTTGTATAGTACCTAATGTCTTATAAATTTAAAATGATAACAATGTAGGAAGCAGAGTTTTAAAACTAAATTTTAGAATTAACAAGTATACTGTACCAGGCTTGTTCAGTACATTTTTATCTGTTAGTTTGTACTACAATGTTTTGAAATGTAAGCTAACTAGAATTGGCCAATGGCATTCATGGTGTTTTTCATACAGTTGTCTCTCTGTTCCTATGCACTGTGTAGATACCTTAAACCTAAGACACGCAATTCTTGTGTAGAACAGAACATCACCAAGCTGAACTGTAACTTATTTGACTACCTTGAGTTTAGTAGAGAACTGGAACTGAATGCTGTGCTTGATTCCATAGCAGCAATTCAAAGTAATCTTCTGCCTATTTGACTTACAAAGATTCTGGGAGCAGCAGTAACACATTCATGCACGGGGTTATATTTTCTCATTTTGGTTTGAAGTTGGTCCTTTTATGTGAAGATGAACTAATTTTGTCAGTCTTAAGCTTACCTATGAGTGGATATTTGTGCTCCTCAGAACAGAGTGAAAGCTACTTTCACGTTCATTTAAAAGGATCAATAATTTTTTGTTTAAAATTGAAGGTAGATGAACTGAAATTGAAATCACTGAAATCTGACGAGTTTGTGATCTTAATTATAGTTATTAGTGACTATCTGCTGTTTTGTAAAAATACCAAAGACGCCTAAGAACCTTCACATGTAATTTAAATTAATAGTGAGAACAAAAAAGCCTTATCTTGAATTCTGTGTCCTGTATTTGTGTTTTCACAAAATTCAGTCTATTTCTGATCTAGAACCTGCTGCTTACTTTAAGTCTTATATCTAATGGAGAGTATCTAGTGGTTAATTCTTATTTGATGTCATTTTTTTGTTTTTTTTTTTTAACAACACTGCTCTTGGCCCAAGCACATGCCTTATTTTTATAGACAGCTGCTGAAAGAAATGCATATTGTCTCACAGTCGTATTGCTGTAATGGGAATAATAACTATTTTTGGAAGACAGATTCCTTTTTCCTCAATCTGAGCTATAAACAGTTGACACTTTAGGAGTCTGGCTAAATAAATGTGGATTCAACTCACTGTATTAGTAAGAGCAGAGTTAGCTTGGAATGTGGAGCGCTCACTCTGAAATTGGGCATGCTAGTGTAAGAATAGAATAAAAAGTTAAATCTGTATAGCTAAAATAAAAATGTTTTAAAAGCAGATTGAGCTTTCAGTAAAGCAACCCTTTATCCCATGCAACCGCCTCAGTGTCATTTGATGCCCTTTATAAAGCAGAGAGATATAAACAAGTTAATTATAGCACTGCCATAGTTAAAGACTATGACAGACATTTATTAACGCACTCATAAGTTCAGCCATGTTCTGCTAGCTGACATCTACCTTGCCCACTACTTGAACTCTTAATAATGTTCAGCATGTCTCTGAATCCATCTAGCTGCTCATCAGCCACAGAAATATGCATTGGTTTCCCTGATGAAAACTGGGTAACATTTACCTATGCATCTAGTCTACAGCTGAGCTGTGTCACAAAGGTGGTGAATACATTCTTGAGGTTTGGAGAAAGCTTACTCCCTCTGTTCCCCCTCCACCCATGCTAGTTCTAACATTTCAGTCATTTATGTGTTTATGTGCAGAGGACACATCTTCTGGGCCCATAGCACCTCACATTTTTCACATAGCTGGGATAATGAAGTCCTTTGCCTGTAGATCTTCCCACATTTTTTTAAATTGCAAATGAGTTCAGAACACAAAGATTTGTGTGTTAGTGAAGCTAGTGCTAAGTGAAATTTATATAACTGAGTCCTCGATCAATAAAGTGTATGTTCTACATCTAGACTTGATGACTTCAGTGTAGGTATTGTATTTCAGTCTGATTTTACAATATGGTGAGTACCTTAAGCTTTCTGCAAGAGCACAGAATTACAGAATGGCCAGGGTTGGAAGGGACCTGAAGGATTATTAATCTCTATCCCCCTGCCACTTGCAGGGCCACCAATCTCCCTATTTAATACTAGATCAGGCTGCCCAGGGCCCCATGCAATCTGGCCTTGAACACCTCCAGGGATGGGGCATCCACAATCTCTCTGGGCAGCCTGTTCCAGTACCTCACCACTCTCTCTGTAAAGAACTTCCCCCTGATATCCAGCCTAAATCTTCCCTCCCTCAACTTAAAACCACATCCCCTTGTCCTGCTAAGATTGAGGTTATTCAAATGAGAAGTAGCTCTAGCTCCTAGCTACACAGTAAAAAAAAAAAAAAAAAAGTGGAAAAACCAGCTAGGATATATTGCAAAATGCAAATGTCTTTTAAAAAATGTAGAGGTTTGGAGGAAGAATTTCTTGAATTGTTATTTTTTTTTCCTTTCCCTAACTTACCAGCACAATGTTCTGAGGTTTTTTGGCCATTGCAATGATATCGACCGTGAGATGCGGAAGTGCTTAAAGAAAGAGGTAAGAAATAAATTTAAGTCATTAAATAACTAATAAAAGATTAAAGCCTATGTGATTAGAAAATGTTCTTCTTTTACTAAGTAGTACAAATCAGTAAATAGACTCTGATATGTAAGCCCATTCTGGATTGGGCTCTTTGGACCTCACTTACATATTTTTGGGGAAATAAATTTATCAGGAAAATTGCACGAATGAAGCCTGAAACAGTGCTGAGACCAATCTGAGCTAGGAACATGCATCTCTGCCATCACTTCTACTTTTGGCAAGATTTGGCCCTGAAAGTAATAACTGGAATCACAGAGGATGCTGTTAAAGGCAATATTTTCCTGTGGAGATGTAAATGTATGTGCTGACATTTTAGTGTTTTTTTCTTTTCAGATTGAAAGTCTTGAAATAATTGCAGAGTACAATTCTGAATGATTACTTCTTGCACAAAATTTCGTTAAATAATAGTTACTTTTTGAATCTCTTAAATGAGATGGAAGGCTCAGATATATCATTACAAATAGTGCAGTTTGGATGGGTATCTGGCTTTAATAAGTAACATGGACTATACTTGGTTACACTAACAAAATACACATTTTAACCTGCATTTAATACTGCAAATAAGAACTGTCACTTCAAAGGTTGCTCCTAATCAGAACAATTTGGGCGCCTCTTTACCCACCTTCCTTTCATTACTCTGTGGGAATTAATTTCATCTAATTGTGTCAAATACCATTCCTCTCCAAACTGTAGCACACATTTGGAAAACAAGTTTCTATCATATAACCTTATTTTTCTTTCTTCCATTCAAGCTATTACATTATAATGACTTTCTGAAGGCTGTTTCCTCACCTTTGAAAATCTGGCTACATTGATATTGTATTACTATGAAGTCCCTGTTCAAAAATCCTGTGAAAAGCTGTTCACAGCTATAGAATAGATACAAAATAGGCACAGATAAAATTGCTAAAGTCCATTGTTGTGTTCCACGTAATACCATAGGAAAATTAGTGAGAAAACAAATATTAACAATATGGCATGGGGAAAAAAAAATAACATTCTGTTAATGTTAAGTGATGTTTCATGCCTTTCTTTCAGTTGTAAAACACTCAGTATGATGAATGAAAAACTGGAAACTCTTTCCAAAATCCATCTGCTTAGTAGTCTATTACATTACATAGGGAATTGTGCATTTGTGGTTTCCTTAGTCTTTCATATTATAAAAAAAAAATAAAATTAACAAATATATACACTAAGTTAACATCAAGAGTTATTTGCATCTTGTGACATATATACCAAATCTGTATAGGTTTTTTTCATTTCTTTTTTAGCCATTAAGGAGGTTTCATTTTTGTCTCTAATGAAAGAAAGATTCTTCAATTTTCAGACTTCTGCTAATGCAGGAGCATATTTCAAAGATGGGCTTCACATTTGAGATATACACATGAATGCTTTCTTGATGTTGTTCACAATGGAGTCCCATTTCTTCTATTTTTTTAAACTGTGCAAAAAATTACTCTAACTCAACCCATATTTGCCTTTGTTCCTTTCATCTTGGTATACTGCTTTATCTGTGCATATAATTAATGACCAGGATCAAAAATAGACCAAGTCTGTGATGACAAATTCATATTTCAGAAGGCAGGCAAACATGTTAGTCCGTATCTTTTAAAAGGTAAAGAGCCTGATCAGTGCTTTAGAATAGCATTAATGCAACTTTTTTTTCTAGTTTGTGTGAAGTGTAGCTGTCAAACTTAAGATGGATATGTAATTAACTTCCTCCACAAGATTAATGGAATCTTTTTTTATTAGAATGTTCTAATACTCTTTAGCTTAATAACCTCTAACTTAGAAACTTGTGTTTTAAAAAAATAAATGTTAATTTCAAAGTAGAAATGAATGGGTATATAGATATGAGGAACTACATATCTAACATTGGTCAAAGATATTGTTTCTGATCCTGAGTAATAAAGGCTCTGTATGTTTAAAATTTGACTTATCTGTTTGGTGGGAATAACTGATCTAATAATTTCCCTCCTCTGTCTTCCAGTATGAAGAAAAAAGGGCCAGGAACAAGGAGTTGCGTCGGAAAATAATTAATGCTCACAAAAACCTTGAGAAGTGAGCTATACTATATATGGACAATTGCATCTCAATAGAGACACTCACTTGAAAGTTGATAGAATATCTCTTTCATATTGCCATTATTCAACCTGTGGTTTGTGAAATGGTGGAAAAATAAACATACCTAAAACATATTAATTTCCAGAAAGATAAACTGAATGTGGGAAAAATACAATGATTTCTCACAAGTTAACTTTTGGCCTCAAAAAGACACCTGTTGTGACAACTTGTGATTCTGTCATAATTTTGTTATGACTATTAAGTAATGATGTATCAAATATCAATGTGTGTGGAGTATTATGCATTCAAAGCTGCAGCATTCCCAATCCTGTGTTGAGTTGCATTTATTCCTTCACAGTTAGTAGTTTCTCTTTCATCTTTTTTTCCTTGCAAAATGCTGAATGATTTATCACAACACTATGAAGAGTGAATGAAAACAGTGTTTAAATGGATTACTAGAAATGAATTTCAAACCAATGTGGTTTGAAATTGAAGATGGCCTATCAAGCAATTAGTGGAGTTCTAGTATTTTTGCTGAAGCCAAAATGACGAAACGACCATTTTCCATTGAGAATATTAACAATTCTTCCTGCCAACTGTAAGTACAGAATAGACTGCCGTAAGTTAACTTGTTTATCATATGTGATGCAAATTGCTTTAGAAACTCAGAATGGAACTTCTTCAGGGATTCTAAAGCACTGCCTTCATTTACACTGAGTACAGTCAGAGTATGCTGAGCGCTGCCAAAAATACAAGCTATGTTGTTCATCTACGTACACTAATACAAAGGGGACGTTAAGTCATGATTACTGCTGTTGAAGAAAAACTCAGGTTAGAAAATGCATCTTGCCTTTCAGTTGCTCAAATCAATGAGCAGTGTGCTAATCAAGCTGCCTCATTAGCTACAAGTGTTGTTCATTTGCTATCTAACTGCAGAAAGTTCTGAACATATTTCTGAATGCCAAGAATTTGATATGAGGATGCTGTGTTGGCTTATGTAGCAATGGAGCTGCTTTGTTGAATGTCTCTTGGATTCCCCTTATTTTTTTTTTTTAATGACTTTACCGTTTTGCTTAGCAAGAAGACTACTTAAAGCAAAATTTTATTGAGTTAAATATAATAAATCTCTTGAAGTCTTTTGAGGAAAGAGCCTACTGTCAATGAATTCAACAGTTTGTATATCAATGCTAGTTCTTGTAACAGTCTTACATTAAGTTCTTGCATCTGTTTTGGAACAAAACTGTATTTTGAAAGGTAAGTTAGAAGTATTTGACTTGTTTTTCAATACCTGGATGGACCCAGTTGTGTTGGTAAAGCATGACTGCAAAAGTATATGCAGAAGGTGAGAGTTCCAAGAAAAACTGAAACTATTACTGGTGTATATTTTGATGTGCTCTCTATTTCTTAGGATAAATAAATGATATGTTATGTAAATTAAATGCTCTAGTGGTTGGAAATGGTGCAGTTGGTGTTATAAGGATACTTTTGAAGAGGACTTCATAGTGGAGTTCCCAGAGTGGGAACTTTGAATCTTTGACCTTCCTTTTGTGAGGATAAAAGATCTTAAGTAAGATTTGGTGTTGCCTCGAACCTATAAATAGAGAATTGTCTTAAAGATTAGGTTGAGAGGCTAATACCTGAGTGTAAAAGCACTGAAGCTTTCTTTTATTCTTTTACCAGATTCTGTGATTCCAGATCTTTCACTAAATAGCAATAAAATAAGAACTGAAGAGATGCATAACATTGTGAGTATGCAGTCGTATTCCCAAGGATCGGTGCATTTAACAAATGAAAGCCCAAGTGTTGTGCACTGTACATGAGTTTTTCTCTTGCTGAGAGATCAAATGCTGACATCTTTTCCTTCAGAAGGAAAGCCTGCTGAACAGCATAATGTACATACGAAAGAGCAGGGCTAGCTCTTGCTCTAGTGTTAAACTCTGACTGTGAAGATCATTGTACTGGTGCTCAAATCTACTAGGAATAGCTTGGAACATTAGTTACCTGTCAGGGGAAATTAACATGAGTTATACTGCAGTGAGTGCTCAGTGGCTAGCTTGCTGTAAATTAACTCAGCACACCCTTCATCTGCAGCGAGTGCTCTGGTGCAGCATAGCTTGCTGTGCCTCACAAATGTAATACTGGAGCAAAAGCAGCACCAATTGCTTATGTGTTTGTAGCTCTGTGCTGTTACGGAGATAAGAATTCAGTGCATCACTGTCTACTTTCACCCAGTTTAACAGTTGTCTTTCTCCCAGCTGATAAACTGGGTATTCATAGAGTTAGGGTAACTGCTCCCAAACAGCAATGAATGGACTTCTATAGGCACGTGCAATTTCCTGAAAATTGGGGTGTATTAAAAAGAATCCCATAAGAAATGCAGTCTTGATAAACACTGCACAGGAATGATTAATACAAATAGCTATATAACTGAAGTATGCAGCTGAAAAGTTAGAATTATGCATGGTGTGAATCACTGTAATGAGTATTTCTGATGTTATTTATATACTTTGCTAAAGCTTTAGACAGGAATAATGATTTAACAGGCATTTCTTAGTGTTGGCACTGCCCATGTTTTAAAAGAAAGCGTGGCATCTAATATAAAATGATATATGTGGAGACATTTATAGAATACCTAAACTGATGTAAGCAATGTGAAAGATTTCAGAATCTGATGGTTTAAGGTTAATAATTAACATTTGTTCTCAAGCAGAGGGGATGCTCTGCTTGCACCAAGTAATGGACTGTAGGCTTAAGTTACAAATTTGGTATTAACAATCACTAAAGAGAAGTATCATGGAAAATCCTGATTGTCCCGTTAGATTTGTTTATTTTATAGAAGCTTTTGCTTGTAACTTGCTAATTGTGATCCTACTGGGCACAAGGCATAGCAGGGACCTGGTCCAAAGCGTGCACTGGGGCACCGTGAGACCAGCGCTCTAACTCTGCTTCTACAAAAACCAAGGTTAAAAACCTCTTAGCCTTAGCTGCCAGCAGCCTAGGGCCACGCTGCTCTGAACGTAAGTAGACGCTGCTCCAGCACTGGGCTGAAGTGGTGATTCCCCATCTTGTCATCGCTCTGCTCCCTCAAAGTTACGCAGCTCTTTCCGAGCCGATGCGCCGAGCAGCAACCGCGGCCATCGCTGCGGTTCCCTCCGTGCGCCGTCCTTCAGAGCCCCGCGGGGCGTTCAGTTCGGGGTCGTGCGGCTCAACCTCTCCTCCGGCCAGCAGCCCGGCACCGAGGGGCTTTGTGGTGGCTGCACGGGGAACGCATCGCTCGTAAACCGACTCGCTAAGCTCATCCCCGCCCCGACCTCCATCCCGCGCCCGGCCCGCTCTGCTCCGGTGGCGGCCTCGCTCCACAGCGCCGCCCAGCGGTCCCGGCGGGAAGCGGCACGCCACGTGCAGGGGCCGCCATCTTGTGGTGCCCCGCTGTCCCCTGCAGCCACGTGTGGGTGCCGGCGTGGCTCCGCGCCTCAGGTAAATCCTGTGGTTCCCTCAGTGGTCTTGCAGGTGTTCCATTCCATGGAGCGTTTCTGTGGCCCTCCGGGTGTGCTCCAAAAACTCCGTGTCTCTTCTATACTGAGGACTCCACACGTGCTCCAGCTGGGGTCTCACAGTAGAAGGAGGATCACCTCCCTCACCCTGCTGGCCGCCCTTCTTGTGATGCAGCCCAGGACACAATTGGCCTTTGAGGCTGAGAGCACAGAGCTGGCTGACGTCCAGCCTGCCATCCACCAGCACCCTCAGGTCCTTTCCAGCGGGCTGTGCTCTGTCCTTTTGTCCCACATCTCGTACTGATCGTGGAGGTTGCCATGACTCAGGTGCAAGACCTTGTGCTTGTACTTGCTGAGCCTCATTTGTTGCACTTTCTCACAGCTACGTATTTGTGTAGATCGTTTTGTTGTATTCTGCTTTGCTTCGTATTTTAACACTGCTAGTAACGATCATTTAAAGTATTTTGTGTGTAAGTGATGTTAGTGAGGCAGCTGTGGTTACAAGCAGCCCACGTAATCATTTTCAATCAGTGTTAAATATGTTCTACTTAGTAGTTGTCTTTGGGATGCTGATGTTCCCAATTTAATTTAAGCTTTGCCCCATTAGGGCTTCCAAAAACCTCTGAGGAAAACAAAAATCAAATCCCCAAATGAGTAATACTGAATGGAATAACAGATTGTTCCTAATTGGTCCGCAGTGTCTTCACTGAGGTGAATATACAGGTGTGTGGAGTGCGACAGCAGACAGTCCAAACCTGGTTGCTGTTCACTGTTGTACAGCTTGCAGAGGGCACTCCTGGAGAATGGATTTTGAGAGACAAGTCATTTTTGTGATCAGAGAGTTCTCTTATTTTAACCAGGAACATAGGAGAGGCTGGTTGATTGTTACATTTGGTGTGAGAAAGAAGGTTGAAATACTAAAAGGTTTTCTGGAAAGTCTCTTTGCCCCCGTTGAGATGCTGCTGTGCTGCTGTTGGTTCTGTTTTGCAGAATGGTCAAGAAGTGTGAAGGCTAGAGAAAAGTAGCAACAAGGAAACCTGAAACTCTCCTCTGGAGCTTCTTGGTGTGCAAAATGGAAGCTCTTAAATCATCTTGTAGCTGTAATGAGTTTTTTCAGTGCTGGGTTTCTTCAAGAGTTCCTGTTTCTCTGCTTGAGGCTGTGTTCATTGTGATCATGTAGTTGAGCTAAATCTGCTTGGGAAGTTGCATATTAATGCAGGAAGTCATGCATCAGGTGGAAACCAATTACAGTGTCCAGTACTCACTGGAAATGTTCCAATGTCTTCTCATGTGTTAGAAGATACTGCATACAGAAATTATGTATTACACGTTATGCTGGGGAAGGAGAAAGGACATGCCTGCAAGTGAAGTGGAAATTGTCACTTTAAGCAGGACAGCAGATGGAGAGCGTGGTCCGTTTGAAATTATCTTAATTGGGTCAGGTTGAGTATCTGTGGAAGAACTTCAGAAGTTCTTTATTGGGATTTATTTGTAGCTTGGTGGGGTTGGTATTGTTTCTGGCTACAGACCAACAGGCCTGTTTTAGCATATTGTTATGCTGTTCAGTTGAAGCTTCCTTAAGGCCTTACACAAAAAATGATAGTGATTTAAGTTATGCCTGGCAAGTGTAGGTCACATAAACCTTCATTTATATTGTGTCCTTTCCTTGGCTGTTGCCTTCCATTTGCAGCTGAAAGACTGTACAGCAGTTCTTTTTTCCTAATAACCCACATAAAACAAGAAGAGGAAAAAGTAAAGGCAGTGTTGTAGGCTTTCTGAAATTATTAGTGGTGGTCATGGTCCAAAGCTATGTTTGAAGTTGGATTGCATGTGTATGCTTGTATATGTATATTTGTGTGTGTAAAAATAGGTACAACAGTAAGAGAAAGGAAATAGCAAATTGAACCAGTACTTCAGCACTTTTCTTTAAATAACAATTTCTTATCGTAAATACACATTTCAATTGACTAGCAATGACAAGTAATGCAAGTTATTTTTGTTGTTGCCAACAAACACTTCAAAGTAATTATGGTTTACTTTCCAAAGTTAAATCACCATATTCTCATCTTCGTTTCAGCTTCCTCTGAAAGTGGTGATGAATAAATGCTTCGACATAGCCCCTTGGGGTCTGTGGTGTGTTACAGAGAGACAGCATCTAGTAGACACAGACAAAAATAGCCTGGAGAAACCTCAAGTTTATCAAGACTCTTAGATTTTAGCTAGTGATGGATCTGAAACAAAACCATGGACTTACACATCTGTGAACTTAAGTTCAGATTCAGATCTGTTTTTATTTTACAGCTTCCTCTTATCTCTGCAAGAAGAACCAAAACCATGGTTTCAAGCTTCTCATCCTGAGGATGAGATCTGTGGGCTTGTAACTAAACACAAATTTACATGTGTGCTAGTTTTATCTTTTTCTTTTTTAAAGAACCAAAACATGAAAACTGTTTTAGCAGCTGGCCGTTCAGTGTTTTATCGTAGCTAAATTAGGATTCTTAATTTAAATGTAAAATTGGTGGTTAGGAAAGGGAAAATGACAAGATGCTTCCCTGAGACAGTTGGCAGGTGGCAAGTTTGCACACTTTCCTGGAAACTTACACTGGGTCTCTTGATCTTTACTTGAAAATTGGTACTGAAATGGTAATATATTATTGCTGTTGAGACCTGCTTACAACATAGGACAGCAGTTACATATAAGTTTCATGATGGAATCAGATTAGATACACTAGACATTTTCTGTTATGAGCAAAGTATGTAGAGGGAATTCATAATTGCGGCTGGTTTTCTACAGAAATTGTATTCTGTTGCATTCTTTTCACAGCAACATGTGAGATTTCTTTCAATTAGTTACTTCTGAAATTGATTTAAAAACAATGTTCTTTTTATTCTACAAACAGACAGTTGAGCCTGGCTGGTGGTTTTGTTTTGCATGCTTGTGGGGAATTAATTCTCCATTCTGA